CTGGAATTATGAGAATTTTCAAAATTGGGTGCTCTAAGCAGAAAGAAGGAAAAATAATGTTCACGTCAACTTTCAATACATTAAAAGCACAAAGCACAAAGATGTTAAATAAAGCGACTAAGTGGAAAATACTTGCCGTTTTAACTCTGTAATTATATGATTTTTACAAGCACGGTTGGAATATTTCCAGGGCGGAAGTTAGAGGTCGAAAATGGTTACTTATTCACACAAGCATTTTAACACCGGTGAAGATCTGAATTGGGGTTTTAATTCGCCTGAAACGCCATTTTAAACCACTAAGAACTGAAAAACGCAAAGGTTTGCCCCATTCCATTTTACCGAAAAGGACAAAAGCTAAACTAATGCTGTGAGATTTTGTGATGGGTTGGGTTTTGCGTAGGACAGTTCATTGAATAAGTAAAGATTAGAATAGCGACAGACATGCAACCTGATTCAGCTTGGTATATTGATACCTACTACAATCGATTTCGTAGTTTTTCTGCGCCAATTTCTTGCAAAATTAAGTGTTTATCGCTCAGGAAACGGCCAATTCTCCCAAAACTCCGTTGAAATTACTTTCAGGTTCCGATTATACCAGTTTGTTGATGCTCCTCCAGTTTGGCTAACTCTTTGTGAACACAGTCAGCCATAGGTGGACCATTAACTGTCTTGAAAGGTTAGAGTCTTAATTAGATTGATCGATAGATGTTCAAATCCAGATCACTATCCACTGATTTAAAATTACCTCAAATTATCAAGCTTTCCTCAGTTTGTGAGCAGCAGTCGAAGTGGACTTTTTCGGTGCACAAACGGAAGTGTTCCAAAAGGTTGGCTCCGACTTTCAGTTTCCCAATAAAATAAGAGAGCTGCGGCGTCACGCATTCTGGTGTTTTTTAGCCTTCTGAGCTTTGCCACTTCATTACTGCACTTTCCGGATCTTCATGCCTAAAATTAGCTGGACAGTAAATAGCACTAAATAAAGCAGGGTTGCTTATTGAGGTCACAAAATTGCTAATTTTAACGATTTTGAGTCGAATTGCAAAAACGATAATACGGTTGTCAAGGTTTCACCACTTAATTCTGGTCTCATTTGTAGCGATATATCTTTAGATTTCAAGGATATGTCAGTACAATCGTTGATAAATACGATAAAGGAATTGCATTAAAAGCAAAGTAATTGGAGTTTTCAAATAATTAAGCTCCAAATCTTTAATTTGGCAACTAGCGAAATTCACTAAAGAGCTGCTGGCAGGATGGGGATCGAACTATTGTTTATCTACTTCGTACAGCCAAAATATTTTTGACGTAAACAGCCATCGTTTGAGGGTCACTATAACTGACTAGATCAAAAATGCACTGGATCAAACACTTGTGACATTGTTGGCATAGTAAATTAAGTAACATACTAGCAACGAGAGAATGATGAGGTTCAACCTCACATTAAGTTGGGTAACTAGACCACCAATCGCGGGATTTCTGCGGTTCTCACGCATTTACTATTGCTACTGCTTAACCTTCAGGTTTATTATTAAGCATTGGTGAGGCAGCCACCCTACTCCCCGTATTCGCTTCTATGTCCACAATGATAAAAATGCACCTTACCACCAGTATCCAGGTTTTTAATTAGCTTTTTCTTCTGGCACTGTTTAAAATGTTCTAGATGCTCACACACTTCCGCCTTTTTACACAAGGAATGGTAAAAACTGGGTATTGTGTTGGAATACTCTAACGTAGTTGCCACTCGGTCCCCCGCCAGTATTGCACTTAACAGAATCACTTAGTGTATAGGGATAACATTGTCGTAACCTGTAAACAAGATTTTAAGTTCATTCATGCACCTCGTGACAAGCACGCTGTTTTCCATTTTAGCGAACTTTTCCTTGAGAATCAGGTCTTAGGCACAGATCACAGGAGATAAATCGCTGAAAGCAGTTTTGCTTTTTAAAACTACAAGAGTAATTCTCATATTTGTTTTGCAGCAGCCACAAATGAAGTATGGCAACCGATTTGAATCTTTATGGTGGTGACATTAACCTTGAAACTTTGAGGAAAATATTCGGCCATTAAAATAAAATTACTGCTTTAAATTTTGCAAATGAGCGTTTTGAGGTGCTAATTAGCATTCTTCCGAGATTGATTATTTGAAAGAAGCACTTAAAAAGCACATCAATATCGGAGTTTGGTCTACTAAGTTCTTCATTCGAAATATGGAAATAAACGCCTCAAAATTTTGCTATTTTAAGGCCACGAGGGATAAGCTTGTGCTATTTCATTAAGAAAAGCTGTAAACTAAACAACGGAACGTTTTAAGGACTAGTGCGTTAAGGCAAGAAATCCACATAAACCACGCCCATTAACTTGATTAAACTTCTCTGAATTAAACTGACTTCCTCTGCTTCATTTTCTCATCCTTGCGTCCTCATCACTTCCACTGGCGTTATTTTAAATCTTATCACACATACATTTCACGGAACGACCGCATGGGTTAAACATCGACCGAACACACACACCCGCACGCTCCTGCCGCAAACCAATTACAGACGTACAAGCGGGCGCCAGTTCGCACTTCAGAGGGTAAATCTCGTTTTATTTTATTGTACCTTATGGGAGTCTTCTGAAAATCAGGCTAATCAGATCAAAAGGAAATTCACAGGAAAAAAACGACGTTCTTAAATTTATGGAAAGGGTAGGAAGAACGTTGCTCATACCTTTTACCATAATACAGTGTTCTGATGCCGACTTGAATTTGATTCCAAGGATGTTCTTCAAAAATTGTGTTAAAATAATTCGCTTTCGTGTAAAACGTAAGTCAGAAATTTTAAGTTACGATGGGTTTATTAAAGCAAGAAGATAAAAACATTTTCTGTTTGTCAGTGTTCATTGATAAAACTTCAGCTCACACTCTGGGGATTTGGGGGATTTGCATATCAATGCATAGACAACAGGATCAAAACGAGACAGGAGCAAGGGACACTGTAACATTGCTTGACTATTGCCGAAAACAAATTCATCCGTACACCATCATTCAAGCAGAGAATTTCGGGCGATGTTTTGACAATGTAAATAGTCTGTAGGTAATAAGGTAGCACAAATGACTACAATCTATTAAAGTAGTTGCATATACATGTTGGTGGAGCAAGGAATGTTCCCTCTTTAGGTTGTTGCAGGAAACATCAAATAATGGTGTGGAGGCATCCAAGCGCATCCGATATGTTGGGATCCTGTGAAAAAGAAACCACTAAAATTGTTTGGACATAGCCAATAACCAATCAATTAAAAATGAATCTAGTTCTGTCGGGTTAGAAAAAACGCCATTGTAATGCTTGTCAAGAGGAAGAAAGGTAAATTTCTGACAAAGTTTGCTACTTGCATTCATTCGTGACGTGAATCCGTGACGGTAGCAAGCAAAGGTATTCACGTGACTGAAATCACAGGGCAATAGTCGTTTTCATATTTCAAAAATGGGAACTTTAAACTTGGTGACAGTCAACCTTCTGATCCTCATTAGAGTTAGATGAAGGTCCACTAAATCAACTTTTCCATGGAAATCTACGTCAATCGCCCAAGTATGGCGGAAGAATTTGGACCTGATTAGGAGACCACTGAGATAGGATATGTTATACCAAATTCAGGAGTCTATTGCTTGCTCCCCGCAGGTCTTCGTGTTCGATCAAAAAAAATGTTCAAAATTCGACGTGACAAAAGCCCCAATTGTGAAATCCTTTTAAACCTGTTTCATTTGCTAGGACTATAATTTTAATATTAAATCTTTATTGACCACTATCCAACATCGTTTGCAAGGGTTGCTCTACATTATCATTAAATTAAAAATTAAGAATGATTTTTTGAGGCAAAAATTTTAATCATCTAAACAATCAAGTGCCATCCCAAAAATTAATAAATAACAACGGAAATATATTATTGACTAAATTAAATATTGTTTTTAGTAAAATTCAGGTTTTAGTGTCATACCTGCACCTTAATAAAACCACAATGATTTATTTTTAATTCCATTTTATGACTGCATTAAACAAAAGTGTGTTTTGGTCGTAAAAATGAAGTGCGATTAGTAGCTACCTGTGTCCATTGCGTGTACCGCAACAACTATTGACAAAAAATGTGAAGTTATGAAATGGGAGCGATGCCGCCCTGGAGGTTGAATTCCAGTGGCACTAATTTATTCTTACACCACAGCGAACAAATGTTAAGCAACTGGTTGAAGAAGACTTGATTATACATTATGAGGTTGCTTCATTAGCTATGATTCCTAAGGGTGGTATTTATTCATGAATACCCTGCGGCTGTAATAATCTTCAAAAAATTACATCAAAACAGAAGAGGATACGTCAGCTAAGCTTTTTTTCCTGTTTAATTGCGTCACAAGGCCGGTAACCGAAAGCACAGAATATCAACTGAGTTAGCTAGACACAGTTGGAGTCATAAGGGATTTTTTTGCGTGGTAACTGAAACAATAAAAGTGGTGGGGTTTGGGTTAGTGTAGATAATTGCTTCGTCTGTATTGTAGAATCCTCATCAGATTTTACCAAGAATTGCTTGTGCAGGTTTTCCCCAAAAAGTTTCACTTAAACAGCAATTAAAACTCACACGTGATACAAAACTAAAATGATCTATAAGCTAATAAGTTAAAATAAAATGAAGTAGAGCTTCCATCACGCCTACTTGATGCCTTTCAGATGGGTGTCACCTTTTTTATAAATAAATTCTAACAACTAATTTGAAGTAAAGAATTTTGCTTACTTCACTTCCCCTAAATCATAGGACAGTAGCTGAATTCAAGATTACCTAATTGCTCTTCACCACTGTGCATTAATTATGTAATTATTGTGGTCATTTTTTGTCCTTCATTCTACAGGTGGCTTATAGGCATAAATCAGGTACACGACACTAAATATTTAGGGAATCCCAACCTCCTTCCGTCTCGTAAAATGCTTCTGCAGCTTGGAGACATTTCACATCTCACATCAAAGGGCATTTCGAAATTAACTCACGTTTTGACACGCCTGAAGGAACTCCTCTGGACTTATGACGCCATCTTGATTTATATCCAGTTTCTGCAAAAGACGAAGCTTCATTAAGCAAGAAATGAAAAGCCATATTTTCTGTAATTACGCAGTCCCTAGTTTCAATACATTTGAAGCAAAGTACTTGCATTTGTTTATCCCACTTGGCACATATCGTAGTACAAATTGTGATTAACACGTGATTAAATCTTTATTTTCTTATTCCGTCACCGAGGTATTGTCACGAAACCGCTTTGCGGAGCATCCTTTTGGACACACTACATCGAATCCTATTTTGACCGTCCCCCCATGTGCACGTGATTATTTGTTTCTACTCGTAGTCCCTATAAACATGTCGTCGCAAGACACTGACCTACCAGTGGGAAACTGAAACGTTGTAGTCATCTGTTTATAACCTTCTCAGTTATCTAGAACTACTGTTGTAAGCATAAAATCGAACTTATTCCAGCACATTATCTACAACATCATGCTCTAAGAATGTAGTAAAATGTGTAGAAGACGCATGTACGTACTAGATTATACACTCTAATTATAAGTTATGTATTTTAATAATCTTCAACATTCATCCTTATCCAGAAGTTGACTGGTCCTAGAAAGTTTCGAATTTTTGCCACAACTCGAATCTATTCACAAAAGTTTGTGCAAGACAAGGTACTTAGTTCTTAGAAATAGCGTTCCATTACTTCAACCTGTTAATTAAATCGCTTAGTTGTCCTACTGAGATGTCTATGCTCTAGGAGTTTAACCCGATCTCAATTAGGTCCTTACAAAATGAACCTATTTTATCCACCATGATCAATTTAGATAGACGGTCTCAAAGATTAGTGGAACTATTTGTTCAATATTAAAAAAAGCAGGTTCGAAGCTATTTTTGCTTGTGCTTTGACATACAACTCACTAGAACATCATGGAATTTAATTGAAAATTTGCACTCTACTTACATGAAATACGGATTCCATGTGTTCCTTCACAGAAGCCTCTTCGTACGGAGGATCAGTGTGCTTGCCAAGGAGGTCGTAAATTGCTTGGACAACCTTCAACATTTCCGTCTTGTCGATGACGCCATCTCCTTCTGTGTCATACAGATGAAATATCCACATTAACTTGGATACCGAAGGGCCGTGAATTAAGGATGAAAGACAGCGGACCAGTTGCTAAATGTTGAAAGCAACATAGACGTGTTATTATTCCATTCTTATTGCAGTTAGCTTTTTCTGAAACTAGCACCAGTTTTCGGTTTCACATGTACAAAGTTAAGCATCGCTATCAAACACATGAAAAATAAACGAGAATTTATGATGAAAAAGCACGTAAAAGTAAAACTCCAATTAGGTTGCGTATCTAGAACCAAATAGAAGCATAGTCTTTTAATCTTAATTGCTTGCAGCCTATGCTGCGCATGCTAGCTTTATCGAAAAGGAAACGAGTACATTTTTTGTCGGCATTTTTCAGTAAATAGCTTTAAAATCGACTCTATTCACTCACCGAATAACTTGTAACGCACCATAAATACTGCCTTTAGTGACCTTAATTAAGGGCAATAGAATTGCTGATGTACTGATACCAAAGACAACCTATGCATAGTTGCAAGCCCATTGTTCATACTTCCGATGACGCGATCTGATCTCATTGTTTACAAGTAAAATTTTCTGTTCAAGGCATGGATTTTACTCCAACAATAGTTACTTGACGCGTTTGAAGCCAGAAGCACAAAACAATCACCAAAGATCTGTGCTTTTAACTAGAATTTTAATTAATATTTTATTGGTTTAATATTTTAATTTTTTTCCGGACTGTAGATAAATTAGCCACGTGCTAAAGTTGCTTGCTGAAGCAGACTTTTCTGTATACAATTTACCGAAGCTATTATGTAAAGACAAACCCTTAGAACAATACCCTATTTAAAATTTCAAAAAAAAAGACTTTTTTTAATGTCGATATTGTTACACGAACTGTTGTGATGTATTGAAAGAACAAATATCGCTCATCATAGTGATACAAAAATCATTATTTTACGTTGATCCACCATAATCAGGTCTCACTAAACATTAATGAGTTACACAAGTCCTTAATTTTTTACCTTTGAATATAGCAGTAATTTTTTAGCAGACGAATATTTTAACTATTGAGCAAGGCAGCACTTAATTTTACGCAAAAAAGGCATCACGTGTATTCTCGAGTGGCATCGGTTTAAATTGCTGTGTACCATTTAAAAACACCAGAAGGGGCAAGGGTTTTCGAACAATTTTGAAAACAATTAATAAGTGTTAGTGAATTAAACATGCATGCACATTTTAAGCCTGAGCTTGCTTGTAAGATAAGTAGCTTTTACGTGCCTTTGCGTGGCTTTACAAGTAGAATCCAGGAGGATTGAAATAGTTGAAAATATGTTAGAGAGTTTGCCATTTACGTAAAATAACGATGTCAATGAACACAAAACAAATTCTGCATATTATTAGAGACAAAACACAAAACGACGAAAAACCTGACCATTAATTTGCGGTTTTTGTTAGGGTTTTGATCAAAACATTAACAAATTTTCAATGAATGCACAAGCAAAAGAGCCCAATTTCGTGGCCACAATAACCAAATGAGCATATTGAGACCGATTAGGTTAAAATCGTTTTGCTCTCTTCAAATGGCTAATCTTATTTTTCCGACAATTTGGATAAGTTAAATTTAATAATCCTTCAGACGCCTGACATGTGTTATGCGATGAGATTTGAATTCTGTATTTAACGACATAAATTATGCAGGAGACCTACCTCGAATGTTATCTTCCCCTGATTCGAGTTTGTGAATGTTCGGAATACGAAGTGAGCGTACATATTGGCATCTGAAATTTTGAAAGCTTTTTTTAATTCTTGAACCTTTTTTGCACCAAGCAACAGTAGTGGCGGGTTTAAAAGTGTGCATTAGTTATTAGGGTTTCATTAATCGCGACTGCCTGGCTTGAAAAATTTCATTTAGGATTTGGTTTGTCTTTGGTGGGTAGCCAGGCAAATTAACTTCTTTAGGAAAAGCTGAGCGCGGCACATGAAGCTTTAAATTTTTACTGCGCAAAGTGAAGTCAGTGAATTGTTTAAAACTTGAAACGTGTGTTCTAGAGTACTATCACTTATTATGGTTTTGCTTGGTGTAGATTGGTATATTAGAAAATCAGGTTGCTCCGTGATTACTGACTGCGGTATTACTTACACGGCATTACAAGCCAAGTACACACATTGCCTAGGCTCCTGAGGTATATTTGCAATTGTTGAACCTGCTGTGCAGTAACCTTATACTTGATAATATAAATAAATACACATTGTCTAGAAATGTATCCGATATCAGTAATTGTTAAATAGGATGTGAACCAAGGCTATCAATGCTACCCAAAACGGGTTTATTTGGCAACGTAGTCCGCCATGATGAATTTAGGAAGCGGTAGAGGAGAAAACACTTTTTGTCTAGAAATCTTGGATCCGTTTAAACAAGTGCAAAATAATAAAAGTAATCAGCTTTCCTTCCAGTTTTCCGCTACTGGCGTTTTGTTAAAAAAATAACTGCGAGGGTGTTCCACGCAAAACATGGTGCCTAAATGACATGTTTGCATAAGTTAGGACGGAAAAAATAGTTTTCTCATGCAAACATTAATGGGAGATCAGGACTTAAACTGCTTGAATGTTGTTTAACTGAAGATGAAAAAATTTTGCTCTCATTATTTTCTTTGAAAAATAAAAACTGTTATCATGCTACGTAGCTGCTATTAATTTCAAGGCAGGATAAAAAAAATGAACACATATTTTCAGTTTAGTGGTGAATGCATTTAGCAGCGAGTTATGAAAATCCCTTGTGCAAATTGGTGTAGGTCCTCTTTAATTTAACTTGGAAACAGGCTTTGATTCATTAAATGACTTATTTTAAGTAGATTTTTGAGCAAATCTAATTGAGAGAGGGCCAAAAAAACAAAGTCATTCTGTATAATTGGACTTTATCATTGTTGTTGCAACTTATTGCAGATATTACGGCATGGAAGCCTACTATCGGTTTTCCTTTGTAACGTATTTGCCAGCTCTACAACTTGTTGTTTTGACCATAGAAGTCTAATAAACATTTCTGTAGTTTAATTCGCTTAATTTTGGTGACTTAATGACGTAAAAAAGCAAATTTTTTATTAGTGCGTGGCATTTAGTGCTAGTTAGACGCCAATAACCAACTATTTTTCCCTTAAATCGCTTTTAACATTTTGCCACAGACGTATTTTGAATGAGCCGGATTACAATTAAATGAAGTACTTTTTCCTCAAAAGGCAGTTGGTGAGTGAGCGAACTAAAAGCAAATCTCTTGCATCAGTTAACATGCACACACACTAGTGCGACATCATCAACGACGCTGTACAGGCCCCATGCTAAGCAAACACGAAAAAACACGTTTACGGGGAAGGCATTGCTGTGCGTCGGCTGTCATTACGGACTTCTCATTTGATAAAAAAACAATCTTTCAATGACAGACAAAGTTGTGGCTATTTTTGGAATCCGAAAGAAAACTGAAAAATAAATTATAGACCCCGAAGTTATTGGTGGACGAAGAAGGAAGCACGGGTTATAGGCAATTGGAACAAGGAATTTATTGACGCACGCTAAGTAAACCAATAATGTAAAGTAGTCTTAATCAAATCAATGACATTAATAGAACACGAAGTCAGTTAGGCAGTAAAGACATCGGCCCGAAATGGCCGAAATCAATGCCTCATATTGATTTACGAACTTAAAAAAAGAATTTGACAATAAGTGTGTTGGTTTTCATAGTAATAGATTAACTGAATTATTAAAGGCTTCCAGCGTGTTTTCTCAGTGCCAGCTCTGCTTCCGCACAAACAAACATGTCAACAGCCACCGACGACTTTATGCAAGAAAAGCACTAAATTTCCCGTGCACATTTTAAATTTTCTGACAACTCTGAGTAGCAAATTGAGTTCAGCCAGGCCTTAAAAATGAATTTTTTAAACTAACTAGTCACTAAAATTCGTGTCCTGGAAGTTTGCTTAATTAGCATGAAATAGCGTCCCTTCATTCCAAATCATCACTTGATCAATTGATTTCTAAATCCACTTTTTTTCGACAAATACTGTGTTTGGTCGTGATTAGCGGTATCATTCCGTCGAAATTGTCAGAAGAATAAATAATTTGATAGGTTTGGTAATCTTTCAGGAAAAGGAATTGTCATTTTTGTTTTTTCCTTGTTTGTCCACTTAACAAAAGTCTGCCAATATTAATATTTTATAATGCCAAATATGGGACGTTTTTACTTTATTAAGATTCTTATTCTACCACATTTGTATGCTTCGTTAAAATTTTCAATGCCTCAGGCTACTTTAAAGTAACTATTGTTTTGGGAGACATTTCTTACAAAGATGTTGATAAATTTGTTGATCTGTTGATTTAATAAACTGAAGTTTAACTCACCGCCTTGCGGGAAAAACTTGCCGTAGATAATTTTGAAGATATCTTCAGTTAGGTACCCCGTTGGACAGTCCTAAACGATCAAATACCCAAAAAAGTAAAACCTAGTAGCCTCGAGAGAATATTCGAA